TGAACCAAGCCTCTTAGTCCTTTTACCTCTTTTTTTTTTTTTTTTAAGATTGTGTGTATTTTGACAGACATGAGCGAGGGAACACAAGCAGGGGGAGTGGGAGAGAGAGAAGCAGGCCTCCCGCAGAGCAGGGAGCCCGACGCGGGGCTCCATCCCAGGACCCCGGGATCATGACCTGAGCCGAAGGCAGACGCTAAACAACTGAGCCACCCAAGCGCCCCTTTTTACCTCTATTTTTAAAGGTACCTGAGCTGTCAATTGCGGGGCCTTTGGGAGGTTCTGTGGTACAGTGAGATACCCTCATTGCTGATAGCATACTTGGTTTTCTTGTCTGTTGAGCCCATTACCACTTGTTCATAAGCTTTGCAGTTTCCAAGATTCTGTCGCTGTTGTCTCCTCTCCCATTCTTTGTCCTCGTGGTTTTTAAATGTCCGTGCCGTCCGCCACCACCGCCACCCCCCCGGCTTTTTAAAGTACTGGGTTTTATTAGGATTTGAGAAGGGACTAGAAGTGATACGGTCTGGTTTTTAACAGCCTTTTTTTATTTGCGTGGGGGTGGATGGTGAAGCAAGGTTTGGGGGAACATAAAAGGGCAGGTAAATTAAAATACGAGTAGTATTCCAGAATGTACCTTCCAGAATTTGGCCAACAAAGTAAATTTCACAAGTTTGCTGGTTTATTACAGAATGAATTTGTTTATTGACGGACAGTGTTAGGTAGCTTTGATTTAAATTCACCAGTTTTGTAGACTTACCAGAGCTATCAATCCCACTTCTTTTCAAGTAATGTGTGAGCTTCCTTGGTCTGATGTCCTAGTTCAAGTTTTAATCTCTTACTTTACTAGATGTATGCTACCAGGTGAGTTATAATCTCTCGGGGTTTTGGGTTTGTCTTTTATTCCTTTCTTCACCTTCAATGAGTTTTATAAGGTTGCAAGTTTTGTTTACTACGTTATTTCCACACTGGGTTGGCAGTTGCTTCATTGTTATGAACAAGTTAGAATACATTATGTGGTGCTTCTGTCCAGGTGTCATTCATGCTGAGGTAATTTGAAAGGTGGTTCATTAATACTAGGATCCAAGTTATTAGACCTTTGCATTCTATATGTGCTTGTTTTTTTACTGCTTGAAAAAGTTCTTTGAAATTGTTATCTTGTACTTTAAAAAGTACTTTAGGGTCTTGAGGTATTGGGAATTTTGAAAACCAGAACTGAACCCACTATCTACCACAGCATTTGTTTTGGTTCTGAAATGCATAATTTTATTTGGTTTGGGGTCAGATTAACCTGAAATGTCAAAATTTAGGTCCATATATAATATACTAACACATCTCAGTAAATTTCTTTGGGAGCATTTTACTTAATAATGTAATGTATCAGCATTTTAACATTTAAGCATGACTCCAAACTATTCATGAAAACTGATATTTACTATCGACTTTTGACAGGCTGAGAGTGCATTCTTTATCCCTTCTTCACTGCTGACCATGTTTGAGAGTCCAGCCTGAAATTTCCACAGCTAAAATGATTCTGGCAAGATTGAATATCCACTTCCGCAAATTGAATCAGCCTGGCTTATTAATTGCGGTTAGTTGCCTATAATCTGGTAAATTGGGGAAGGGTTGATTATAATCCTCATTTCAAAGAGGCCTGCAGCCCATTTATATCAGAATCAGAATTGTTTGGGACTGTTGCCTGGGAACTTGTGTATCACAACCCCCCTCCAAGTGCTCTTAGCTACACTAAAGTTTTACATATTGTCCCTTGAAGATGGTTAAATGCTGTTTCATAAGGATTTTTTGTTTTTACTTTTATCTCGTGTAAAGACAAAGGTGCATGTTCCATAAAAACACCACTCAAGTCTTTGTCATGAACTCCTAAGTCTAGCTTGAAAAAAAAATTGGAAAGACTTTGTATCCTAGTGAGTGTACAAGATGACAATGAGCAGTATTGTACCAAGTGGGGTAAGGGATGCAGGAGTAGCAGTAGCCTGGGAACATGGCCAGTTGGTTTTATGAGTTTTAAATTCTCTACAGGCATTCTGCTCTCATTGCATATTGCCCCTTTTTGGTTTGTCACTGATGTCACTCATCTCTTCCTTTATGAATTTATAATTAGCAACTCTGAAATTGTCTTGTGGTGTGGTTACATACTGCCCCACTGTCCTTAGTATCTTTTAGGTTCTCCAGTAATTCCAGCAGCCTCCCATTTTGAATGGCTGTAGTATGGTAGCCTTAGGTAATGACTGGTATCCAAGGGACTATGCAATTTAGGAAGACCAAGCAGTGGGTAACTGCTAAGTGTTAATTTTCCCCAGTAAGCCCTGTAAATTTGGGGGGGAAGAAGTGCTCTAAGGGCATGAAAAAAGGACCTTACAAAATTGCTACTTTTAAAAGGTGAGGCTTCATAGGAATTAGATCCTAAGTAAGAGCAAGGTGTTAAGAGCAGTTCACACCCGTTACTTCAGTGGTCACGAGAGGACTTGTTTAAAGTCTTCAGAGAAAGTACAGATAGATACGCATTAATTCATTAAACGGTAGAGGTTATTGGATTTTTTAAATTCTATTTTGAGAAACAAGTCACTTGATAGGAAGATAGTTTACTTCAAGGTTAATTGGTGTACATTTTATTTTGTAATTGGATAGGCTATATTCTGTTTGCACTTTAGAATTTGAATGCAAGGTTACTTTTCTGGATCTTCTATTTCTCTCAGAAATAAAATACTGGAAGAAACTTAAGAGGTCTGTTAATGCCATTACCTAAAAGCGACATTTAACATGTCATGGAAGCTATGGTTGGAATAAGTACTTGAGAAAAAGAATTCTATAATTGCCCTTTTTTTGGTTGTATGGATGGCCTTGGGTTACACAGGGATTAAACAGATTTTAGAAGACACTTGCCAATCTCACTGATGAAGTGGAACCCTTTAAAAAAAATTGGAAGATGGCTCTATTACAGTGTAGTTAAATTGGCTAAGGCAATAAAACTTTGAAATGCTCAGAAATTTGTTGTACTCTGCTTCTACAATCATTGATATATAAAGCATGCTACTACTAGTCAATTAGTTTTATGTATTAAGACCTATCAGCATGTCTTTTTTTAGTACTTGGTTGACTTGATTTTAAACTAACATGATGTTCTCTGTACCACTTAACATTTTCAAGACCTTCCCAGCAAATTCTGTTAGAACCAAGTGTTTCCATTTCTAGAAGCCTATTTTTAGTCTTCATTATTAAGTTTATAGGGGGCTTTAGTGGGGTTTTAATTTGCACTAAATTTTCTTTTCTGGAAGATTATGTTCAAATTATAATGTAGTGCACTTGTCTTACAATTAAACTCTTAAAGCACTCATGCATTTTTTGCACTGTCTTTTTCTTTTTAAATTTAAGCTTTCCCCTCTTGGGTGAATACCTTGGAATAACAGGTCTTATTTTCTTAGTTGAAAAGGTAAGACAACTGTCATGTTTAAAATGTCATAACAATGTTAAATGTTGGGATTCTTTTGAAAGTTAGAGTAGGCATAAGGGTCAAATAGTGTTTTAAGTTGAAGAGTCACTGAATTTAATGGAACAAAAAGGTAATTTCGAGTTTTCTCCAGAATGTTCATGAGGAAGAATAGTGAGAGTAGGAAGATTCCTTATGGAGCTGTTCAGTCTCTGGCCTCTACTGGGTTTGCTGTCAAATGTGAGGCCACTGAAAGTGCTGGTAGGCATCTACTATATATGCAGACGTGTATATTTTTCAGAGGATGGCAAATTGAGTTAGATGTGTGAAGTAGCACTAATGTTAGCCAAAGGTATTCATAGTGTAAATACAGAGGAAGCCTAACATAACATTGTTTCACTATTCCATTTCCTAGGTGTCCCTTGAGAACTTTTTGAGGAATATGGGTCAAGTCTTATTCCTGGCCTGCCAAAAGAGAGGATGCCATTATGGCAGGTCATGGTGGTGTGTCGAGCAGGTCTGCTCCACCACAGATGACCTGTCTATAACCAGCTTGTGATTTGCCTTTTTGTTCTAAAAATTGGGCCAAATTAAATAATGGGCTTTGTTATTTTAATCTCTGCCGTGATTCTGTAATGAGATAATACGAAATTTTAAAACAAGTTAAAATAATCCTTTTTCAGATTTATTAAAATGTGTGAGACATTTTATCTCGCAGACTTAAAACAATTTCTAGTTTAATGATTTCAAATGAATGTTTCTGAGGTCCAGCTCTGTCAGTTGCCCTGTGATGTTGGGCAAATAAAATAACTTCTCCAAGCATCAGTTTTTCAACTGAAAATTCTGTCTTCCTCAGGTATGGGTGTTATGATAGGCATGTGAAAGTGCTTTGGGGTTAGTGGTTCTCAACTTTATTGTGAGATTAAGCACACACTTTGAGGCCATATCCCAGCCTTAAGTTGATTCTTCAGGCGGTAGATCCCAGGGATCTATATTACTTAGGTAAATCTGATGATTTAGGGTTGAAAACCAAAGCTTCATATTTATTGCTATGACTTGAAGAGTTTCGGAAATCATGCATATGAAAAGGTATCAAGTATTAACACCTATATGTGCTGGGCAGTTATGAGGAGTATATGACCAGGCTTGGGATAGACACAGCTGTCCACCATGATGGGATGAGTGCCCTTTTTAAAGTTTGCCTGGGCATCTGCTAGGACTCCCCACATTTGCTTCTATAACTCTTCTGGGCTTCCTGAGATGAGCAGAAAGTAGGCTAAAACAGTCTGGATTACAGAATAGCGTGATACCCTTTATAGAGATGATAAATAAGGTCACATAAGCGTTTTTATGGGGAAAGGAGGAAGAATAGAGTTTTGGGATTTAAAATTTAAGGTGTTTGCATGATATCCAAGTGGGGGTATCCAGTAGAGAGTTGGAAAACGGTTTGGAATTCAGAAGAGGTTATTTGCTGGAGAAGGCAATGTCAGGGGAGTAAATAGAAGCACCCTAGAGAGTGTGGGAAACGAAGAGAACCACAGGCTGAGCGCTGCTGCAGGCCATTTGATGGATGAGTGCCTGGTGTAGTCCGCCTGCACCCCCACAGCAAGTGGTGTTTTCATTTGTTGATCCTGTTTCCTTTTACTAGCCCAGTGGAATCAGGCAAGTGACACTGCTTGTCCTTCAGTTTTCTTAACTGTAAAATGGAAATAATAGTCCCTATTTCAGGGTTGTTGTGAGAATTAAATTTAAGAATCTCTCTAAAGGGGCGCCTGGGTGGCTCAGTCGTTAAGCGTCTGCCTTCGGCTCAGGTCATGATCGCAGGGTCCTGGGATCGAGCCCCGCATTGGGCTCTCTGCTCCGCGGGAAGCCTGCTTCTCCCTCTCCCACTCCCCCTGCTTGTGTTCCCTCTCTCGCTGTGTCTCTGTCAAATAAATAAAATCTTTAAAAAAAAAAAAATCTCTATAAAGTACTTAAACAGCTATTGGCACATATTAAGTGCTCAATCATGTAACTGTTAACTGTTGACTGCCTTTACCTATTGAGATAAATTCAGTTTTTAATAAGATTCAATTACTGTTCCACTTATGACCCATGAAATCTTCCTCAGTGACTGGAGCTCGTGGTGGTGATCATTATCTTGAATTTATTGTCTGCCATGCAGTGTACCACTTAAGTAGAAATTGTTGTTTTAATGTGTTTGATTTTTATTGGTCTTGCCTCCTCAACTGTAATGTAAGCTTCCTTTGGGATTAGGTCCATTTCTTATACTTCTATATATAGCCACTAATTTCTCAAACATTAGTTGTCTCTATCAATGTGGTGACTTACAATAAATCCTAATGTTTTAGAATTGTTTTGGTGCAGAGTAGGAGCTGAACAATATTTGAATGCAGAATTAAATGAAAAGTCTAAGATTGCCTTAATATTTGTCTCTCTCTATTCAGGTATTTTCTGACAAAGGTAGTACAAATAGCAGGTAAACGCTCCTTATTAAACAAGTGCTTTTCTTCTTCCTAACTCTTAAGTTCTAAGACTGCTTAGGAAAACAGGCATCATGTGGAACTTAACTGCCTGGAACCAGGGTGATAGCCTGTGCTTTATTTAAGTGTGCTACAAGTGGAGAGGAGCTTGTCACATGTTCTTCATTTTTTAGGCTCCTGGGTGTTGGCATCCTAATATGTAAAATTGGGGAGGGGGTAGATTAGGTGATCCTTAAGTTCATGTCTTCTAGCAATAAATATGCTAGTACTCACTTGCAATCAGAAACGTATATATTTTAAAGATTTCATTTATTTGAGAGAGTATGCATCAGTGGGGGGAGGAGCAGAGGTAGAGGGAGAAGCAGGCTCCCTGACTCGTGGCTCCATCCCAGGACCCTGAGATCATGACCTGAGCTGAAGGCAGACACTTAACCGACTGAGCCACCCAGGCACCCCACAAATATATTGTTTTATACATAATTATAAATCACAGGAATGTTAGCAGACACATTTATATAGTCCTCAAAAATAACAGCAGCAAAATACATGACAATTCCTCTTCTCACATTCCTGTCTCTCCCCACCCTTCCCAGAACAATCTACCAACCTACAAAAAGCAAAAATACTCATGTCTTGTGTCTTATCTGGCCCACAATTAAGGTGTCGATAATATACTTTGAATTAAAGATACGGGTTTCATATATACCACAGCCAGTACTTGAATAAAATTTTCAGCTTTCTAGCTAGGTGACCCTGAACATGTCATTTAGCTTGGCTATTTTCTCATCTGCAAAATAAAGATACTATGAACATTTACATAGCACTTATGTGCCAGCCACTGTTGTATGTGCTTTACATTATACTTAATAGTTTTTACCTCTTTATGTCATTTAAAATTAATGCACTCCTTGCTCAAAGCACTTAGTACATTATATCAGAGTACATACTCAATATATCACCTATTTCTTTCCCTTGGATATAAATTACACAAACTCCAAAGTTTCTAACATTTAAAATCTTTTAAAAAGTATTTTGTGTGAATGGAAAGGTGATACTGTGCTGGAGGAACAAGCTTGGTGCCTAATTAAAATGCCGATACTTGAGGGGCGCCTGGGTGGCTCAGTTAAATGTCTGCCTTCGGTGCAGGTCATGATCCTGGGGCCCTGGGATGGAGCCCTGTGTCAGGCTCCTTGCTTGGCTGGGGGTCTGCTTCTCCCTCTCCATCT